CCAGATGGAATGCTGGTGTTACAGGTGGTGGTTTTAGGCATTATCCCATCACATTGGCCTCAGGAAAATTAATCTTTGAATTTGTGAAGTAATGACATTTTAACAAATTGATTTCATGGAGATAGATATCTTTGTTATTGGTAATATCTTATGTCTGCTGCTTGCATGTAAATGCTTTTCTAAATAATATTTGAAAGTATTTCTTTTTGAGGTACACAAACGTCCATCAACATATTTGATTCCACCTATTTTTTGCCTCATAAATTACTTTTTCAGAGATTGATCACTGCTGTTCTTTTCTTTAGTACTTTCACAAGTGTGAGTTAGTGAGATCCAAATGAGAGATTTTCCTGTGCCTTTTATCTAGGCCAGGTTTCAAGGAGCCGTAACACTACACGAAATCTCAACTCTGTAGCCCTGCAATGTAATTGTTCAGTGATTCCTAATCTTATACATTCACTTATTTTTTTTCTATAAGAGAGATCTTGCGTCTTACTGGTTCTTCCCCAAATACTGCTGTCAGCTGGTGCCAGGGCCAGGCCAAAGCCAGAAAGTCTAAACACCACCCCGATGCCGCATGTGGGTTGTAGGGACAATAACCACAGAACCAGGACCTTAGTGCCATATCTCCAGCCCAGGCACTGACGTCACACAAACCACAGCATCCCCAGGGATCCCTTTGCTTGTCAGCACCAAGGCCCGCCTCCACTCTTTCTAATTTCTAACTTTATTTTCTTCTCAAGTATCCCCATCACTTAACTAGACAGGTAATACTTTTAAAAGAAGAATTAAATAAAAAGAAGAAGATACCCATCAGAAACCATAGTTCCCAATTTCCGGTCCCACCTCTGGCTCAGCAGGCCCAGAGAGCAGCTTTGTTCTCTCTGAACTGGGGAGCAGCTCAGACAGCTGCTTCCACTTGTGTACACGCACATACACACACACACACACCAATGGTACCTAATGGCTTCTCTTGTGCCTTTTTAAACTGAAACCATCTCCTCTAAGTAGTAAGAGTCTCCTCACTATAGAATAGTAAACAACACGACCTTGCCTGAAAGGAGAAGAGGAATCAAAAAGAAAATTACATTCCAAACAAACATGCTAAGCAATGCCAAGTTTTATCTATGGGTAACTTCATCGGCAATCCTAAGGAAATTGTTTCAAACCTAGGCAATGGCAGAGCTATGTGGCCTGATATCTTTAGAACTCATTCTGTCAAGTAACAATTTCTAATAAAAAATAATTGGGCAATTTTCTATTCGACATTAGCATTGGGTAACCATCATTCCTGTGATGTTTAATAAGACATTTAACAAGGCAACAGCTTCATGGAGGCCTGGGACCGTCCTCATTATCCGTAACAGCCCTCCACACCTCCCTCCTGCCTTCCTTTCCTCATTGGTTTTTTTTTTTCCCCCTACTATTTTCTTCCTTTATTTTCCTGTTTCTTGCTTTTTAGAAATTTCCAAATTGACTCACCCAGGAGACAAGTTTTTAAAATTGTCTTCTTGGGAATCTTTTCCTTTTGGAAAGTTCAAAAATAGGTCCTTGGCAATTAACTTTTCACATTCACCTCATTTGAAAGTTGCTCATTAATAACAGAATAACCATGATTATAATATCTCTGTAACTTTTAAATATTGTGTTTACGATCGTGTTTATCAAAAGCATTCCAGACAATAAGACAATTATTTTCAGCCATCATGAGGAGCTAGCCTTTCCCCAGCAGTCCATCTTTTTTTTTTTTCCATTTCATTTTCCTCTTGTAATTTAAATAGGTCCATAAAATACAGTCCTGAAAAACAAAGTTTTCCTCCACTTAGGTTCAATATTCAGTTGTCCAATGAAGGACAAATGTGTGTCTTCATAGTTCAAGGACATCTTACTATGATGGAGGACTTCCTCAGGCCAGAAGATAACGGAAATGCCTGTGGATGAAATGTGTCATCAGGTGCATGACAGGTACAAATCACTGAGCAAGCAAGTTAAAAAAAAAAAAAGTGGACAGTCCCTGTTCTCAAGTAAATGGAACTCCAGGAATATCAAGCAGAGGTCACTAACTTACAGCCTCCTGAGGAATCAAAGTAAAAGGTGTTGGTCTGAATTATAAGAAATTTAAAAAAAAAAATCAGTGAGGGGCCCAGTGCGATAGCCTGGTGACTAGGGTCCTTGCCTTGTACATGCCAAGATGCCATATGGGCACCAGTTCTAATTCCATTGGCCCCACTTCCCATTCAGCTCCCTGCCTGTGGCCTGGGAAAGCAGTTGAGGATGGCCCAAAGCTCTTTGCTTAGGATCAGCTCAGCTCTGGCCATTGTGGCCGCTTGGGGAGTGAATCATAAGAAGGAAGATCTTCCTTTCTGTCTCTCCTCCTCTCTGTATGTCTGACTTTCCAATAAAAAGGAGAAAAAAAGGTTAAAAATTAAGATAATTATTTGTAAAACCACTGTATATTAAAGCTATTGTCTTCTAAATTGTGTATATGGAAATACATGCGTATATGTATATATATATGAGATTTTACAAAACTGAAATAGGATTGAACAGGCTGAGGAGCCGGGAAGGGAAACTATTCACGTTTTAGTTCCTTTGCATGCTGTACCATGCTCATATATTGTCTCATAAGAAACTACACTACATAAATACCAAGATAGGAAAAAACAACTGATGAGTAACGAGAGGAAGAAGGCAAAGCCCTGCACCTCCTCAACACCACATCCCCTCCAGCCATGCAAGCATTTGGGAGAGTGAAGAAATGCTTAGAAATGACGTGGTTCTCTGTCTCTGCCCTCTTCTACCTCTCATATTAATAATTTTTAAAAATAAAATAAATAGTGAAAGCCTTAACCACCACTCAGAATGTCAGTGGTATTTGATTTTAAAACCTCAACAGAAATCATTTCTAGTTAGCAGAGCTATTGTTTATGTTCAAGTGATCATCTTTAGTGGTTTTAAGTACAGAACCAGATTTGCCGTACATTTGGTCATCTCTGCCTTTTTTTTTTTTTACATTTTATTATTATTGCTATCATTTTATGATACAGTTCCATATTCCCTTATCCCCTCCCCAATTCCCCCCCCCCACCTAGTTCCTCTATATCATTACTAAAGTATAGTTCTTCATACACAGTCATATGTCCATCATGGCAGGTATGGACAATGGCAGAGAGTCCAGAATCCTATTGTCAAAATACAGTAAACAGTTTCATTGTAAGTCCATCTTTGTCTGGAAACAGAAATGCATACTACACTGCATCCTCACATCTGGATGTTAGTCTCCATTTCACAGCTACTGTGCATCCCCTCAAATGAAAAGTCATGATACAAAATCAACAATAGAAAGAGAAATAGAAATTTACAATGCCATGAAGTTAAATGACATGTTACTAGATATGACAGTCTCTATTACACAACTACTGTACATTCCCTTAAATGAAGAGCCACAAAACAAACTCAACATCCAGGAGAAAAAAGAAATTAACAACACCGAGAAAGCAATGCTAAAACTAGCTCTGGCATGGTGACGTGGTGGCATGGTGGCATGGTGGCCTGGTGGCTGGAGACCTCATCTTGCACCCGTCGGGATCCCATTTGGGCACCGGTTTGTGTCCCAACAGCCCCACTTTCCATTCAGATCCCGATTGTAGCCTGGTAGGGCACATGAGGCCTTGGCGGCCTGCACCCACACAGGAGACCTGGAAAAGGCTTCTGGCTCCTGGCTTTAGATTGGCTTGGCTCCAGCCGTTGCAGCCAATTGGGGAGTGAATTAGCAGACAGAAGACCTTTTCCTCTGTATCTCCTCTCTGTATATCTGATTTTCCAAGAAAAATAAAATAAATCTTTAAAAAAATTGCAGAAAAAGATCAACGAAAACTGAAATCATTTCAACTCCTGATGGAATGCTTACCCAGTGAATTTTCGTGATCAAACTCACTAAAGACTTGAACTTTTTGTTTTTCTATCAAGGAAGCTGAGAAGGAGAACTGATACTTTAGGTATCTGATAAAAAAAAAAAAAAACACTGGTTTCCTGTTTTTATATTTGATCACGGTATCTATATTAATAGATATCTGGACATTGAGCTATGCAAATGCTTTCTCTATGAATTTTGCCCAGTCTTAATAGTCTAAAATGTCTGATTTCCAATCAGGAAAGGTCTTATCTTGAGTAAAACTCATTATCTCACCATTTACAGTTTTTATTTGATTGCATTGAACTCCAGTTGCCCTGATGTAAAATGTGAGGAAAGTGGGGGATTAGAGAGAAAACCTTCGGTGATGGACTGGCTCTTCTCCTGCAGGAGCCTCTCTGAAATCTTAAAACATAAAAAGTCAAAATGAAAAAGTTTCAGTGAAAAAGTTATCATTATTTTAAAAAGCGAGACTAACTGCTTTTCCAGTTACTGAAATGTGCTCTTTGAAGACTGACAATTGCTGCTGTTTCAGCTAAGTTTGGGGCTGATTCACATTATCTTGATTAGTCAGCAAGGTAGACACAATTTTATCTCTTACCATAAAAGCCGAAACGATGCTAACAAGGGTTGCACAGTGTTCTTTGGCCCTGATTCTTCTTTTTGTCCACTGCTGTCTTATTTGCTGTGAATCCTGATGTCAACTGCATGAGGATGATTTCTTTTTTAATATTCCATGTATTGGAAAAGCATAGTGACAAAGAAAGTTGTAGACAGAGAGATCTATATCCACTGGTTCATTGCCCAATTGCCAGTAGCAGCCAGGACTGAACCAAGCCCAATGCGGGATCTGAAATTTTAACTGGATCTCCCATGAGAGTGATGGGGTCTTAAGTACTTGAGCCCTCAATTGCTGCCTTCCAGCTGAATTGGAAGTAGAGCAACCAACTGCAGCTGATCTGGTCGCTTGGACAAGAGATGTCAGGCTTACACTCCTGGGCCAATCATCTGCCCCTAAAGATATAAATATTGCAGACATCAAATGTGATTTTTGCTTGATTTCTGTCCTCCTTGTCTTCCCTGCTAGAGCATCATGTGTACCGGCCAGCGGCGATGGCATCCAGACCCCCTTCTGATCCACTGCATCCAGTCCTGTGAGGTAAGCTGGCCCCTTGTCCAGACCCAGCCTGCTGCACTCAGGTCTACTTGACCCATTGGCTACCCCACATGCAAGTCCTCTCCTGGCTCCACTCCTCCATGTTTGTTCAATCCCTTACATTCTGTTGGCCTTAGAACCTCAAATTCACAGAAACTAGCATTTCTGATCTTTTAAGATGTTATTCAGCAAAATCTTCAGGACTCTAATAAAAACTATGTTAAAAGCAAGTTAGAATTATTTAGTTTTGGAATTCTGACACACAGCCTTAATGAGCTCAAGGGGTTTTGGACCAATGGTCCACATACAGGTTTGTTGTACCAGCACCATGTCTGGGCACAATTTTATTAGTGTTATCAGCTTTGAAAATTTGTATTTTACATGAAAGTCTTTATACCCATATAACTTTAATCTGCTCATGCACACACCTGCAATAAGAATAAATATAAAAAGCTTTTTGTACAAAGGTATTTCTCTTGAAAAAGAGTACTGCAAGCATAGAAACAGTTGGCTGGTTGTGAATAGCAGCTGCAACAAGGAAACCTGCTCTCTCCCATTAGCACGCTTGACCTGTACCCAGGACCATCAGCATGCTGTACCTTCCAAAATACCTTAGCCACTCATTAACACAGCCTACGTTTACTGACCCAAACATGCTGTCTACCTCTGCACACAACGGATTCCATTTCCTGTGTGGGCCCCGAGTGCTAGAGTTAATAATGTAGGGTCAAGAATGAGAAAAAAAGCCATGCTGAAGGACCATGAGTCAGGCATCCTGACTGTAGTAGGAAGAGCCACACCACACACGCACAGACATGTATGTGCCCACCAGCAACGCTCTTATCCTAGAAACAGTCCTGGACAAATGCAAATACTACCAGCTCGGTCAGCACAGTCGTTGTCATCCAAGCTTCTGGCTCAAGTCACCTAGCAAGGCTGCTGGGGCAGGCCTGGCCACTGCTTGTGTTCTATGCAGCAAGCTGTTTAACTGCCATTGTTTTCAAAGAGCCTTTCCTTTGCAGACCTACCCCACACACATGTAAATCCCTCCATTCTTCCCTATTTGTGTCTCCTGGTCTAATTCTGGGAAAACAGGGTCCACATGAGGCCAGAGAGGGTAAACGGGTGGGGTTTGAGAGAAGAGAGAAAACTGGGTGGGGGGAAGGATACCAATAAAACTGTGCCTTCTGAGTGCATCAGGAAAAATGTTAGCCTGAAGTGTGCTTTGTTGTGATGTGGGCCAACAAAACAGCTCATCTTCTGCATCATTAGAAAAACAGATGGCAGTGGGGTGGGGAGGCGGGAGAGAGGGGAGTGAGTCATTCACTGGGCAGGGAGTAGAAAGGGGGAAGAGGAGGCCAGGGAAAGAAGGAGATAAACACACAGAGAACTCGCTCAGGCTGCTGGGAGGAGATCAAAGGTATCCTGAGAATTCCCTTCTGCTACTTCCTTGCACGATGGTGGGTTGGAGGGTGGATGACAGCGTTTGGAGCTGGCAATGGTACTTCCCAGAAGGTTACAACACAGAGCTTCCCACTTTTGTCCTCTCCTGCCCCCCACAACCCGGTCACTCTTCTTTGTCTGCTGTCAGTCCCTTTGTTGAGGCGACAAGCAGCAAAGCTCATTCAGTGGGCTTGTCTGTTGCTGCATTGCTAGTATTCACAGCTGAGCTATAAGCCCCATGTAACTGTGTGTCCCCTTCTCGGTGGTTCTCGTAGTTTGAGCCCTGGACCAGCACTGCCAGCATCACCTGGGATCTTGCTGGGCATGTGCATGCTCAGATGCCACCACAAACATGCTGAATCAGATACTCTGGGAGAGGGGCCCAGCAGAATATGTTTTAACAGGCCTTCCAGGAAATTCTGATGACCACTCAATTTGGAAAATCACTGCCCTTAACTCCTGTGGCAGCAGACAACAGGGTTCCTAGGCTTTTCATCTGTGTTTGGAAGCTTTCTTTGTCCAAGAACAATTTCAGCTCGTGTGATTTACATTCTGATTATCCTATAGGATCCATTCCTGAGATCCTATGGGTAGGACAGAGTTTGACAAACTAGATGTAGGGGTGTAGTCTCTTGGCAAAGGCCAAGAGGAAGAAAACTCATTTAGTGAGGAAAAAGAATTAAAGGAAAGGAGAAGCAATGCCATACAGAAACAAAGGAAGCTGGATGGGGAGTTAGACCTCCAGGAAATGTAGGTGGCACTGAGAGAGGAGAGGGATTGAGACTGGCGTGAGCTAGGAGCAAGTCGGAGCGAACATTTCTTTTTGTAAAAGTCAAGAAAAATATTAAGGAGAACTGAAATTGTGGAAGATCAGAACAGAAAAAAACAGACCCAGAAGCAAGATAAAGCAAAAGCACTGGACTGGTACAAGAAGTTATAAGAAATGTGGCACAGAGACCTTAACTCAACCTCCCCTGCCCCCCCCCCCCACACCCAGTAACTCCAAAAGAAAGAAAAAGAAGTAGATAAGCATCCGTTTCTTTTGCTTTCTAATACAAAATGTGATTTTGGGATGCCTCCTTCAGACATTCAGCTTTGTAAGAACAGAAGGCTTCACTCGTGATTTCTGCTGTAGGCCCAGCGATTAATCCATCACCCCAGTATCACTAGCCTCTGTTGAACCTGGCTTGCCCAGACCTCTGTTCATGTCATATTCTCTACTGCTTTCAGCTCTCTGCTATTCTGTTCCTCTCATTCCTTAAAGAGCCTATAAAGTTTCCTGTAGAAAGATTCTGTGTAAAACTTTTCATTTGTTCTTAACACTTAGTTTCCCCTTTTCTCAGCATGAGTATGTCTATACTGTATATCTGCCATCTAATCTTGCTCCTAAGTTCCATCCCATCGTGTCCTGTGTTAGCCTTCTTGACTGGGATGCTTGTTAGATTTTCTATGAATTTTGTGAGTTATAAATGGATGGGGGTGGCAACTTGCTTTGCTGGAAGGATTTGAAGTCAAACAAAGCTAGACTCATCTTGGATCTGAGAGGTAGTGTCATTCTCGGTGTCTTAATCTGTACTGGGAAATGGGACAACAATTGTTTTATGGACTTGATATACAGGAGAAATGTGAAAAGCCACATACAGCACTTAGTGTCATGCTGGGCCCACAAGAGAAACTTATAAAATGGTGTCTTTTGTAGTGTGTTATGAGCTGTCTTATGAACACTTACCCAATGACTAAAGCGGAGTCAGGTCAGTGATGCTGGGATGACCTCGATATAATTAGGTACAGATTCTGAGCCTGGAAAAAAGGAATGAAAACTGAAACAGCATTCCTGTGCAGCATCACTGAGGTCAGCAATTCACAAATCACTCAGAGACTGTTAGCCTTATGTCCAGCCACGTTAACTGATCCTGAGGTGAGGGCATGAAAAGCTCTGTGTGTTCCTGCTGATGCCACCACGGTCGAGTCTTGGTATTTCTCACCTGGGCTGCAGTATTCTTTTTTTCCCATTGTTCTGCCCTTTGCCGCATCTGTGTCCATCAACTGCCTTCACTCTCTCTCCTGCTCTGCATGATTCCTTCTGTTGTGCCCATCTTCTACTAGATATGTTTCAGAAACTCCCAATTATCTCACATTTAACTCATACTCCTTTGTGTGTAGGAAATGGGCTTTTGTCTTTCAGTCTATTCTCACATATCGGTGTTCACTCTTTTCCCAGACATTTAAAAAAAAAAAAAAACCTCTTGTAATACAGTGTTCTGAAAAGTGCATGGGCTTTGAGCTGTGGGCACACTTGCTATGAGAGTGAGTGTTGGTCCCACTTGCTGCATGACACTGGGCAGGCTTCTTTCATTCCTGTGCTTCACTGCCCTCAATAGAGGTTTTATATGGTTATCGAATGGGTTTGTAATGCTTACTTCACAACATTTTAGGCAATGTCATTTCATAAAGGCACACTTACAAATGCATATTACAGGCAGTGAACTCAATCTAAGGTTTGTGCATTAGGCTTGAGAAACATTTATGAAAGAGTAGAATGCAATTAATTTGCATATTACTTATTAAGTTATATGCTACCATATACTGTATCTTCAGTGATACTTACGTAGGAAAGAATAATGTAATTAATATTGGTTCCACCATTCATAGATGTATCATTGCCTCATGTAGTTCCATGCCCTCTGTCTTTGTACATGTTTATCTCCCTTTTTGAATCTTTGACCTACACCATGTTTATTTCAGCCAACTAATATCAGCTGGGAATAATTTTGCACACTCTACCTCTCACTCAGAGACGTTGGACAATATTTGAAGGCATTTTTGGTTGTCGCAGCTAGGTAGATAGCAAGATCTACTGAAATCTCATGGGTGGAGACCAAGAAAGCTAACAAACAACCTACAATGCACAAGACAACACCACAGACCTGAATTAGTATTTCCAAAATGCCAGTCTGCTGTTGAAAGACTCAGTGTCAGATGATTCCCAATTGATTCTTCAACACATTTTCAGACCTCTCCTCTTGGTCTATTGTGTGACTGGCACCAAGTAAGCCATCACCCCTACCCACAGATGAGTTCTAACAGTCTCACTCCAGTCTGTATTTCATCACTGATGACCTTAGGGAAGTTGTTGGTTTTCTAATAAGATGTACTCTGTCCAACAAGAAGAGAGAAAGATGGAGACTGGAGTGGGTAGGGTATGAATGAAGCAGGAGAGGGAGATGAAAACAGAAAAGGAAATAGAGAATTATTTTCTTCATATTATGGAACAATAATAGAAATGAATACTCACCCTACCTGTGAATTGGTATTAATAGAAAATAGAAGTGCTTTTACAGTAATCATCTCTCTTTAACTCTTGCTTTCTTTCAATCTTATTTTTTTCTTTTGTAAAGCCATGCTTATCAACTCTACCATTCTGCACAGCTCTAGTTTTCAATCCATTCTTGGCCTCGTGGGTGCGCAGCTGAGAGCACATACTCTCATATAAACTCCATTTACATAGAATTGATTAGTTTCCTTCTCATGGGTTGGCTAACATCAATCCACTTCTTGGA